AGTTAACGTCAAGGAAGATACAGACATGCTCTTTTGAACTCCCTTATTTCCCAGTATATTATTATAATGAAAAATGGCAACATAGAGAGTCTCGTTTCACTACAAGTATGTCTCAGTGGGTGCAATTTTGGAAGGACCTAGTGGGCGTGCATTAATGCCTTCCCGAGCCATATAAAATAGTATGCCAAAGCATATTTAAACATCAAATGACTGTGCTCGATGATATTTTATTTTGCGTTTATATGCCTAACGAAGACTGGAAAAGTGGATAATAAAACACAGTGAGTCGTGTTGAAGTGGTACATCCCACCGATCACGTTACGAGACGTGCTGCTCACTTTGTGTTTTGGCGTCCACTCCCTAACCCCACCTGCAACTGCACAGAAATTTTTATTATGAGCAGAAGAACATAACAGCTCCCCTTGTCTTTGGTGGCGAAATTCTTTTGCTAGTGAAAAGTATACTTGACAACGTGTAAATATCAGCGATGATGATAGAGATAAAATTATACTAGGTTGTGCTGACATGGTGGTGCTTATCAGTGTACAGATCAAAATCCCAGTTAAAATTATCTACGGGTGGGAACATAAGTACGAACGCACGCAGAACCTCTCGTGCCACACCAACATGCTAGAGACGAATATTATCCTCACGCTCTGCCTTGCTCTAATAATATTTAATGTGAAATGACTTCGAAAACTGATACTGTTGGCTGGCTCGAAAAAAGTGTCAACTACGAGGCAACGCCTCTGACTCCGTAGTATGCACAACGTTTCTATTAGGCCGGCTCGTGTCTTCCAGTGACCGAATGGACAAAGGTTGACATTGGAGACGAATTGAACATACAATCCTTTTTGTCGCATTTTATAAAACAATTGAAACATTGTGTGAAGTAAATAAAGAAACAATTCAGCTGCGCATACGTCTCAAAGACACTGAACAACGTCCGACCTTTAAGAATGCTGAGCCTTTGTTTTTCTAGGCTGTTTTTGTCCGTAGTCAGGCCGACTGTATTGATAAACGAATTCTGCTTTAAATCAATTTTTAACGCGTTTGAACACAAAAGCGAGCAGTGGATTATAGTGAATCTGTAGTCACCTCGCATGCTACGGCATGTACGATATCACATGATTACTTTTTCTCGCGTGCCTCTGGGGGCCAGCTGTATGTTTGCCTCTCGCCACCACTAAGCTCACGCGAACCAGAAAGTGTCAAATGCCGGTTAAGGTCACAGACACGTGCTAATCATCTTTCTGTCCTAACTGGTTATTCAGGTTCCAAGGCCGGTTCAAAAAGGCCCTTGTTGCGGTGATTGTATATGCTCAGAGCACTCCCAAACTCGGTGACCTCGCTACCGGATTGCGACTCCGGACCCGTTTGCCTCACGACTAGATTGCACCCACCTGAGGTTCAATTCCCTCTTATCAGCACCCTACTCCTTCTTCACTTAATTAGACTATTCTTAATACTCTGGCCTCCCACGTCTTATCTTCTTATCTTTAATTTCTGACCGTATTTCGCCGTATCCTACATGTCTGTGAAAAATTTTCCGTTCCTCGATTATTTTTTTT